TTAGTTATGTTGTCAAGTTATTAGCTAGAAAATGCCACTTGGTGGTTTTCATAAAAGTGGGTGGTCTCTGACTATTTACTCATATGTGGGTGAGTCATGCTCAGTATGAAGTGTTGCTGTATGTTGGGCTTGTATTTCATAGCTTGAAAACTGAGATAAACTAAGTCTAAATGTTTAGTGTGCCTGCTTTTGTTCATGTGAGGCCTTCAGCCCACAGATCACCTTCAGAAACTGTAGTGCCTTGGACTCATTTGTTAGTAGGGAATTTAACAATACTGCAGTTTGTCTGGAAGATTATAACTGAAGCTTGCAGTGTTCCTGAGCTGGAGAGCTTAGTTTTAGAGAACAAAGCTTTTCCTGTAATGGCACAGTAAGATTTTTCTTAATCTATCATAACTTATTGCTATGTTTTTTGAGTCTTCTGAATCTATTAGTGCTAGTGGTTCCAGACTGGTCCTGTTTAGGATTGTCCTGGGTTGGTCTGCAGTACAGGCCCTTGAGCCCCCCATTTCTGCCTCCTTGTTGGGCTGTTCTTGACTTGTTACCAAGTGCTATCTAATATTTTGATTTCCTCCCTCTGATTGTGAGCAACTAGACAGAGATGCTCTTAAATCCTAGTTTGTGGGAAGGAGCAGTTTCTTACAATCTTCTAGTAATGCACATGATAAAAGCCACATTGCTAATGTGTGCAAAGTGTGAGTTTAACTCTTCTAAGTGATTGAAACTAAATTGTACTTTAGGACATATGCTTGAGCAGAGCTTGGTGCATAAACTGTACCACTACTATGGATGTTCTGCAGAAATTTCAGTTGCTGCTGCTTCGGAGAGCTGTGAGTTAGGGTAGTTCTATTATCTTCATCATTTTTGGTTATGTTCTGTAATCAGGTAAGGACCCCTAGAAGGCAGTAAAGAGCAACAATAGCTGCTGCTCACTGTGGAACAGCCATTCTGTGCCAAGCTATTTTTTTTTCCTGACATCGCTCTGGGATTGCGAAGTGTTTGAGGAGAGTATTCTGAGCAGTTTGTAAGGGGGATTAGAGGAAGAAGAAATATTCTCCTTTACTTTTTCAGAGGGCCCAGGTACCACTAACTGAAGGTTACCTCTTCTTTAACTTGAGTAGTTGATGAGAAATATCTGTGCCTGATACTTCATCTGTGGAGGCTAGAAGGCATGTATTTTTCTGGGAGCTGTTATTGATGGAGCAAAGGAGATTGTGGTGGGAATCTCAACAGTTAACATGTGCTAGTAGTATCCTTTTGAACAGTTGGGTGAATGAGATCATGGCATGAGGTTAGCGTGAAGGTAGCGGAACCCTGCTGTAGAAAGGAAGAGCTATTTGTGAATTAAGGCCTAATTATGCAAATGATCCCCTGAGTGCAAGAGAAGAATCTAGCAGGCTTGGTGGAAGTAGCTTTCACAGAACTACTACACATTTGCCACCTGTCACCTACATCTTGCAACGAACTTGAGGGTCCTGAGAAAGATGTACTGGCTGTAATGGTAGCAAATATTGTTTCAGATACATAGCACCTGTCATTTGAATCTATATACATATATTTTGAATCAGAGCTCTATAATGTTGATTGCTTATACTGTCGCAGCAGTCTTTAACTGGCTGCTAGTCTGCCTCTTATTTGTTCTTTTGTGGTAATAATGGAGGAGTTGTGTGATTTTACTTCAGCAAAAACTCAGCATGTTTGTTATTTTGAAATATATTTGGGAGGTACTACATTAAAAATGCATCCTTAGAATTAGATTAAAGAGTGTGATGTTTCAAATAATAATAAGTTAGCAAGGCAGTGCATTTTCTTCATGGTAACTGACTGCAAGGCAACAAGATTATTTAGTGCTAAGTTTCAAATATTGGTTTTCTCTTCCTTAAATTACACTAGTTGTATCTAATTATAGAAACTGTGGGAATCAGTTTGAACTGTAATGATGTGAGTTAGCCTTCTCTATAAAGAATATATTTTCTCTTGGAACATTAGAGGTATTTTGAAAGCTGTATGATTTTCATTTATGATTTGATTACATAAGTAATTGAAATGTGTCAGATTCAGATAACACTTTGTTGGAACAAATTGGTGATTTGAACTTGTTTCTCAGTTGTTGTTTTCGTTGTTGTTGTTTTCCTGCAGGCAAAAGAAATGAGTTTCCATCTGCTTGCCGTACAGATACTTAGGAAACATTTAATTTTTTTGCACTGGATCTTAATTTTTTTTCCATTGTGATGTCCATTGGAAGCAAAATAAAATCAAGCAAAAACTCAACCAAACAGAATTAACAAATTAAACCAGCAACATCTCTTATTGTCTAATGAGAATGAAACTATCTTAAGCTTCATGCTTCATAATAGCATAATACTTCAGCACACACAAAGGTATAATTTAGGTGTAAATTGTAACTAATTTATGTCAAGTCCAAAACCTGCCATCACAGTTTTAATGTGCTAGTATTAAAATTACTCTATGTAGTAATTGAATTATTTCTTATGATGATCTGCAAAACTCTGCAGTCATTTAATAAAGACTTTTCTCAATATTTAATAAACAGTTATAAAGATGTTTGCAATTTTTCCTTGTGATGCAGCTAAGTGACCAATCTTGCATTGGATGTCAACTAAAATGCATATTTTTATTTCCATTTTGTAATATGGGAAAAGTCCAACTGGGCTACTGCACACTAGTCAGCATGCACAACCTTAATACAGAAATAAACTGTTTAAAATGAGCTATTCAAATTGCATCAGATATTGCATATGTGGACCTGATATTATGTGATTACACTGTACATGGACAATTTTTTGAGTACCTGATTTTAGACTCCATTCATGCAAATGTATATGCTTAGATTTACTTAAGAGTAGAGTCATTATCTGCAGAAGCTTGTTTACAAAGAACTAAAAAGTGTGTATAAATTCTCTCATAAACATAAATATGTTGTGGTAAATTGTTTTATTGGAATGAATATAAGCAAGCAAAAAAAGTCTGAGCATGAAATGCTGCTTTCCTTTGGTGGAAAAGTTGTTCTTTATCAGTCAGAAAGAAGAAGTTGGCTCTGAAACTTCCCATAGAATACAAATTTCTAGTAAGTTGATTCAGAATTTTTGATAATAATTTTTCAATAATCTCTAGAAAAATATCTATAAAGTTTCTAAAATTTAATTTAGACACTGTGTTGATAATTTGTCCTTGCTGCAAGTATGAATGCCCTGCCATATGCAGTATTAGAGGTACTTTTCTAAAACCATGATTTGTAATACTTTTTTTGTTTTTTTTTTTTTTTTCTGTGGGAGATGTGAAACTTCATGTAATAGATTTAAATTCACTGAAAGCAAACTGGTGGCCTCAGAAATTGATTTGTCAGGAGTTCCAAGGTCAAAACAGCTTTAAGCCAAGTTTGTGTATCCTGTTATTGGCACTTTTAAATTTATTATCAGCAGTGTTTAAAAACAGCAGAACAGCCTTATGATACATATATATATATATTTCAATGAAATGAATGTGATTGAAGCTAGATTTTCTTAGTGTTTGTGTTTAAAAAGAAATTATAGTTAAAGAACACTTAATTCCTTAGTTTGTGTTTGTGGTTTTCTTGTGTAACTAATTTTGGTGTGATGATCTTGCAGAATGACATGGAAGCGTTGCCTTCAGTTGCATGTTGAAACAGATGAATCATGGGCATTTTCTGGGATTTTCTATGAGAAAGGTGATTCTCATCACCTTTGTCTGGGGCAGAAGTTTGCTTGCCTTCTTCTAAAAGGTGTCCTTCCAGTGCCACCTCTTGGTAGGTTCACACACTGACATAGCTGCAGAGTTAATTTTTGTGAGTGGAAAGGTTAGCAAAGGTAACCAAATGTTTCTGGATCATCTGGCTGACCCTTAAGACAAAAACAGCCTTTATACCTGTTACCTGCCTATTGAGCAAGCATTAACCTTATCTAGTTACAGTGTGTATATGGAAAACTGGACTCCCATTTACTTGCTGGTAATACAGTAAATAGACCTTACTCAAAGCAGAGCTTAGCTGACGCAATACTTCTGGTTTTAGGGATGTTGTGACCAATGTTTTCATGCGTCTGAATTCTGCCCAGTAATTAAAAAAGCTGCAGTGTAGTCTTATTCAATAGACTTTTTAAATTAATTCAGTGTGCATAGTAGCTGGATTATAGTGGTTTAGTGGTCAGTAGTTTTTACAGTTGACATGAAAATAGCTGTGCTTTGGGTGTATAAACAGTTGTAAGATCTTGCATGCTCTGAAAAGTAAAATCAAAAGTCATTTGTGTTTGAGTTTAGGTGGTAGTAATTATGGTGTGCCTCCCACCTTAGTTTAGCTTTCATGACTCTTCATCTGTGTAATGGTCATAATACCAATTTCATGTGTATTGGTAGTGAGATGCTGCAATCCCTTGCAGTTGTGAGAGGCCCCTCAGGAAAGAAGCGCTGCCTTAAATGAGTTCAGAAAGTGTTCAGTGAAGAAAGTCTGGGAAAGCACATGGAATAGTAGCTTACTTAACAGTAACTTACTTGTGCTTACCAAAATGTTGAACTAAGTCAGCAGGTTAAGGAGTCTGTCATTTCCAAACTTCCTTTTTAACCCAAGATACCCCTATTTCTTCAGGTTTTAGGAGCATTTTCAGGTGACTAATGACAGCATGTGCTCAGCTTCCTGCAAAAGAATCTCAGAACAAAATGCAAAGGGGGACAGGCATATAACACCTATTCTTTGGATGTCTCATTTTCTTCATTGCCTTGATCTGATTCCTTTATCCTTCTTTTGACTGTTGCTTTTATTAGTTTCCAGCACAGCTGGTAATTCTGCAGATAAATGCTGTTTGCTCAACAGTCCTTGTATGCATGTGCATGTTTAGGCATATTAGAACCAATCCTGTCAGTTTTGTCCTATGGCCAGCTTATGTTATCATCTTCATAATTAAGAGATGTTATTTGTGCTGATAGTGCTATAATCAATAGCTCCCTTACCCTTTACCTTGTTACAGATTATGCCTATAAGTGCTGAGGAAAGCCAGGGATGAAAAATTGGCTTCAGAGTTCTCCATAAAGATGCTCACCTAATCTAATAAAACAGACTGAATGTGTGAAAAGGAACTGAAAAAGTGCTGTTCAAATGCCGGACAATACCAAGGAAATTATCCTGCAAATTGTTTTGCAGCGATGATTAGGAAGGAAAACCACCTGCAACTGTGTACCTACATAGATGGACACGGGGAGGTGAAAAGCTATCATTGTGTCAGTGGAGAAGGAAAACAGTTTAATTTTTCTTTCAAGCTTACTCCTAATGATGTTGTGGCTTCCTGACACTGACGGTTGAGACCAAAAGTCCTACTGCCATCTCAGTAAAGGTATTTTTCTTGTTTCTACAGCAGATACTAAATGTTTAATTGCTTCATCATTTCTGGTGTTTCTCCCTGCTATGTTTTAAAAGCCCTTCATAAGGCTTTTTGAAGGGCATACGTAAGCATCATAGCTTTTTGTTGGCTCTTAGACAGCTTCACTGACAAGATACAGATGCATAGAAAACAATGAGTTTTCTTTACAGTTTATCTTAAAGACTTAAAAATACAGAAGGTGTCTGAATTCCTTTTATATGTGTAGCTGTTCTGCATTTTCTGACTTGTTTGGTGGTCTACTTAAAGAGAAAGAAGATAAAGCATCTTGCCCCTTGCCACAGAATTGCCCCTATCGGAATAAGTGTAATTGCTAAGAAGAGATCAGACTTGATGCAGAATTGCAACCTGCTATTAATGATTTTCATTTTATTTTTATGATTGCTGCAAATATTAAGTTCAATTAAAAATGTTGATTTTTTTTTTTTTTCAGAATGGTACAATTCACTCTGGGGATTTGTTACTATGCCCCAGATTGTGATGGAAGTTCTCTTTCTTACTGGAACATCAAATAGCTCATGAGTTGGAATGCTTCTCTCCCCTGTTGGAGCTAGGTCTTAGGGCTCTGGTTTACATGGTTCAGAGCCAATGCTAGATTTTTTTCTTCTTTCTCCTCCTTCTTGCAAATCTGTTTACAAGATCATACAGTGTGAGTTTCTCATCTGCCTGTCCAATGAAAAATACCCACAAAGCAACTATGTTACTGGCCCAGAGAGAAGTTAAAATGATTGAGGTGCTAGGCTTGTCAGTTAGGACATGGACCTAGGACACAAGACTAACCTAGTCTGAATGCTGTTTTAATAAAATCATCTTTTCTATCTGTGTCAAAATAGAATTACTTTCATTATCTTCCTGACTCAGTGAGATTCTTGTAGCTCTCCACATGATGACTGTGATGATACTACAAAATTTGGAGATCTGTTGGCTGATGTCATTGAAGCATGTTTCTTGGCTCTAAATCAGTGAACAGTAAGCTGTGATTTCTGAACTGTCATTTAAGTGATGTGCCTGGTTAATATTCCAGTGTTATGCATAGCTTTATAGACATTGTGTAGTTATCATTTCAGATATCTCTTGGTAGAGGGGATGTTGCTGAGGTACCCAGCCGTAAGTGTGAAAGGTGTTTATGACAAGGTTTGAATTCTGGGATGCAACTTGTTCAATATGTCATTGAACTCTTGGTCCAGCTGAAACTGCCTTTTGCCCTGAGGTTCACTTTTCCTGCCCTTCAGCTGTGTATGTAGTGTCAGTGTACACCTTTGTAAAGTAGTTAATGCTTTGTTACTATGATTACCTGCATTAAAACAATGGAAGGAGAGACCAAAACCAGCATATGATTTTGCTGTCACATTCAAGTGTGAATGGAAATGATTTGTTCTGTGGTGTATGTTTATCCTTATATGCAAGACCTGTTCCTGCATTGTCAGGTTTATTTTACAGCAAACTTTTCACAGGTTCAGTCTGATGCCCTGAAACACGGCAGAATTGATCTTGGTGGGACATAATTATTGCTTGTACACCACACTTTATAGACAAATTATTACAATGTAAATAATGCACTGCAACTTAGAACAGGTAATAAATAGTCATTAACATGTAATAATAACTCAGATATGTGGAAATCTGCCTGAACAGCCTCTATAATTGGGTCATGTATTTGTGTCCCTTCTTCCTTTTTTTTTCTCAAGTCATCAAAGTTTTGATTGGATGCGGAGTTCCTGAAAGCATTATTCATAATAGACATACTCACTGAAGTGTGCCTGCACTTTTCAGGAGGCCTTCTGCTAAGAGTCTTTCTTTGGTTTGAATGGGTAAAAGTGTGCTTGCATGGATAGTTGGAGGCATGTGTTTCCTCTGCCTTCCAGAGATGCATCCCAGCCTCCTGGCACGTGGGAAAGGTACTAGCAAAGAGTTTCGTTTTCCAAGTGCATTAAGTTTTAGGTTGGAACAAAAGGCTAGATCATTAGGTATGATGATACTCTGATGTGCTGGGATCTTGGTGAAGAGAATAAGGCAAGGGGTCAAGGGGTACAGAACTCACACCACATTTGTATTGAGATGACTATTCCACTGCATGTGAAAGCATATGAAAAAATACTATTAATGTAAGTGGTACCACTGATTTCCAGCACAGTTCAAAGTGGGGAGTTTTAACAGCTTTCAGGATAAGAGCGCCTCAAAAGTCTGTTTTGCTCCCAGCCTGGTATTACAGCTGTTGAAGAACAAATTGGAAAGAGGTGTAGTATAGGTGACAAGATGCTTCTTTCTTCTTTGCCCTAAAAAGAGACTTGTGAGTTTTCTTTCAAGGTGAAAGCAGAATAATCTGGATGGTTCCAGCTGATGCTTTGGGAACCTCAGAGATAGTTTTCAGTCACCAAGAGGGATGCTGATCTCTTATGTGTTATGTACATCATCTGAGGAAATTATCTAGGCTGAATAAGATCTGCCGTAGAGCAAAATGCATCTAAAGTGGATGAAATCAGTTGTCTTTTGGTGATACTTTCCTTAGTTCCTAATGGCAGGCTTATTTAGCTGGCATAGATTGGATAGCTGACTGAAGTTAGGTGAGGTAATCCCTGCCAGATTACATGATTTATTTCCAGAGTGCAAACTTATTGAAAACCTCACCTGGGCCCAGACTTGACATCCTGGAGAACAGGCTGGATCTTTCTGCTATTACAGACAGGTATGATGTTCTTGCAAAGTAGATCTGTGCTTTTATCACTTAATGAGACTCCAGTCCCTGTATTGAAATGAGAATGGAGGGGTATATAGTGACATAAGGAAGAGAAAATCCTGGAGAAATTCTTGGCAAGGTGGTTCAACCTTATAGTGGCATCACTGAATACAAGTGTAGTTGAAGGTGGAGACAGACTTAACTGAAATGTAAACTACTACTATTGGTAGAAATTCTCTCTATAACTTGAACTATGGTATGCTTTCCAGACCTGACAGAACTTCTGATATGTTACCTCTAGAATGAGTTATGTTTTTTATTTCATGCACTGAATCAAAATACAATATCGGTGTCGGAAGGAATTGAAAAATTTACTGTAGACATCATATTTGAGATAGGCTTTGTTTATCATCTCTTGTAGTATTTGGATTAAGCTAAGTAATTGAAATTGAGAAATTTGTCCCTAAAATTTGGCGCCAAGTAAAAGTAGTCAGTGGTGCTCTAGTCATGTGCTTTCTAGATAATTTAAGGAGGTTTCTACTGCAGAGAATAACAAGGTCATGCTTTGTGCCTTGTTTTTTTTGCTTGCCCTCTGACAAGATATGATTTTGAAAGCTATAACTAATGAGATAGGTTCTTACTTGAGTTCTTTGGTGAGTATCCAACCTAGGAAGAATAATAAGAATAATATTGGAAAAATACTCTGCTCAGTCTTTTGTTCAGAGCATGGACCTAGTTTCCACGTGTTGTTTGAAGATAAATGCTTAATCCGATTTTGAAAGGCTTTTATGACTGTGTAAACTGTAGTTACTCTGAGTGATGCAGAAAAGCCTAACCACCTAAATCTTTCAAGGCATTTGGGTCTGTAAATCCTGGCAACTTCCATCTGGTAACTTGGGTTCTTCAGCAGTTTACGAGCTTCCAAAATGTTTACCTCTTCTGTACGAAGCAGGAGGGATTGCACTAGTATAATGCAGTCAGGTGGTTGAAGTCCTTTGAAGCAGATGTGTAAATGTGTCAAAAGGAAATGTTTGTCCTGGCAGTTGCTGGGGAGAGGCAAGGAAAGGCAATGGATAAATTAAATAACAGGTAACTGAATAATGCATTTGCTTAGTTTCATGAGAACTTGTTCTCTCTATCCTTTTGCTTTTATATGTTACCCTGAGAATCTAGCACTATTTACAGTTTATTCCATACGGAATTATTTAATCTGCTCATTATTCCAAATAAGAACTTTCCGTAAGTGTGCATCACAGGTGACAAAATCTAAGTAAATCAAGCAAAGATCTGCAAACAGTTGCTGCTATTTTTATTAGGAATAAATAGTCAAATGACAGGAAAATATTCTCCGATCACTATTGTGTCAATGTCTCAATCTCACCAGGATTAACATAAATCCCTAGGTATCTGTTTATCTTCCTTCACAAAAATTTATGATTACCTGGCACTACTTTGTTCATATCAACAGAGGCTTCCACTCTGAGAAGAGTTACACATATTGAATAGAAACATAATCACAGCAATTTGAAATGATTGATATGTGCAATGCTTTGTCCACAGTGCCAGTTAGTGTCCTACTTTTGATGAGGCAATTTAACCACAGAATATTGTTCATAGTGATCAAAACAGATGGTGGGATTTTCAGAAGGATCTAAGCTTTTTAAGCCTCCTAGCTCTACTGAAGTCTGTGTACTTTAAGTTGTCCAAGTTCCTAAGCTATTTAGAAGTTTTGGAAATAGTACCTCTAAAAGGGAGCTTGAGAGAGGAGTCTTAAGCCCTAGACTTAATTCATTTTTTATATAGATAATCACTAACGTAGAATGGCTCAAGTAGGAAGAGATCTTAAAGATTCCAACCCTCTTCTGCTGTGGGCAGGATTGCCAACTGCTAGATCAGACTGCCCAGGGCCCCATTCAGCCTTGCCTTGAACACCTCCAGAGATGAGGCACATGTTTCTGGGCAACCTGTACCAATGCCTCTCCATTCTCTAAGTAAAGAATTTCCTCCTAACACCTAGCCTAAATCTCCTCCCCGCCCCCCCTTTTTTTAAGCCATTTCCCCTTATCCTGTTGCTACCAAACCATGTAAAACATCTGTTATCCCTCCTGCTTATAAGCTCCCTTTAAGTACTGAAAAGCCACAGTGAGATCTCCACAGAGCATTCAGGTTGAACAAGCCCAGTTCTCTTAGCCTGTCTTCATAGAAAATACACTCCAGCCTTCTGATCATCTTTGCAGCCATCCTCTGGACTTGCTCCAACAATTCCATGTCTTTCTTATGCTGGGGTCCCCAGGCCTGGGTGCAGTATTCCAGGTGGAGCCTCATGAGGGTGTTACAGATGGGAACAATCACCTCCCTCTCCCTGCTGGTCAGCCCTCTTTTGATGCAGCCCTGGACACAGATGGTCTTCTGAGCTGCAAGAACACACTGTTGGCTAGCATCAAGCCTTTCATCCACCAGAATCCCCAAGTCCTTCTCCACAGGGCTTATTTCTGTGAGTTCTTCTCCCAGTTTTCTCAAGCTTGTTCAGGTCCTTCTGGATGCCATCCTTTATTTTATCAACCTCACCAGTCAGCTTAGTGTCACTGGGAAGCTAGCTGATGGTGCTCTTAATCCCATTCTTTATGTTACTGGTAAAGGTATTGAAGAGCACTGGTCCCAGAATGGGAGACACTGCTTGTGACTGGCCTCACCTAGACGTAGAGCAGCTGACCATATCCCCCCTCTGGCAGTGATCATCCAACTAATTCTTTATCCACTGATTATATCAGCCTTCAAATCCATCTCTCCTATTTAGAGATAAGGATGTGGTGTGAAAGTTTGTCAAAGGCCTTGCACAAGTCCAGATATATGACAACAGTTGCCCTTTTGTTGTCCACCATACTGTCAATCCATCATAAAAGGCCACCGTATCTGTCAGATACTATCTGCCCTTGCTGCAGCTGTGTTGGCTGACCCCTGGAATGTGTGTTGTCTGGCTCTGTAAACTTGTACACATTCAGCCCCATGAGGCAGTCTCAAACTTGCTCTGCTTTTAAAGTGGCAGAGATTTTTCTCCCCTGACTGCTGCCTAGAATTTCAGGGATATGAGAGGCATAGGAAGCCTGACTTCTGATGAAGACCAGGGCAAAGAACTTGTTGAGTACCTTGACCTTCTCTGTGTCTATTGAAGCAAGTTCTACCTTCCCATAAATTGGCAGGGATTCATTCTCCTCTATCTATTCTGACCAATGTACCTGTAAAATCTTTTCATGTTATTTTTCACATCCCTCACCAAGTTTAGTTCCATATGCACCTTGACTTTCCTGATCACAACTCTGCACATCTGGATGGCATCCCTGTGTTCTTTCCAGGCCACACATCCCTGCTTCCTCTGCCTTCGTTTCCCTCTATTCCCTCAGTTTGACTAGCAGGTCCTTGTTCTGTCATGCTAGTTCCCTTACTCCTTTGCGTGATTTTTTTTATGCTGGGGGGCGTGGAGAGCTCTTGTGTTCTCAGAAAGGTGCTCTTAAATAAAAGCTCTGTTCCATTCCTCTGGTCCTGAAGTCAGTTTCCCAGGCGTTCTCATCCAATAATTCCTTAAACAGATAGATTTGAAAAAATCATCTAAGTAGGGGTGGGATTCATCGATCTTTGAAGTCTAGCTCTAGAACTTGAAAGGTGGATTAGAAAAGTGGATTTTGAAAACTGAGGTATGCTTCTGTATTTTATCTTAAGATTTATATTTTTAAAAATCATTTGAAAATATACTGTTATTTTGTATGCTAGGTCAAAAAGACTCTAAGGATCACTGGAATTCCATACATTTGTCACAAGCTGTGTGATCTGATTGAATAGTGCTGATCCGCAGTGGCTGTAAACCCAGCAGACTTCTTAACGTATTGCACTATTTCTTCTGACATGCTTTGCTTGCTCCTTGCTGCTTTCAGTATTTGTTATTTTATT